CAGAGCTTGGATGGCTAAATTTTAGAATGACCAATAATTTTAATATAAAAAATGCACAAATCTTAAAGAGCACAATTTTCTTGATATTTACTCCACTGGAAACGAATATAAACATAGAACAGATTACTGAATTGGCAGACTAGCCCATCAGCTGATGCTCACAACAAAACGTGATGTTCGTAAGGATTTCGTAAATTAAATTTTTGTTCGTTAACCGAATTGAAGATTCTTTTGGAAGGTAATTCGTTAACCGAACCATTCGTTAACCGAAGGACCACTGTATATATATCTGAGAGACATAATCAAAATAAAAGTCACTCAATTTCCTCACCGTGCTAAGATATATAAATACCAAAAATAAAATCCCCGAGGCACTTAATATTTCAGGTATTACAACACAAATTAGCGGATCTTTCCTTGTGCGCATTTACAGCTGATTCGCCAGGCAAGAAGATGACGGTAGCATTGCGTGTGATGGGGGTGCGGGAGGGAGCTTTGAGAATTGCAATTAAATGCCAGGCAGCGACGTGTCCTAATATTACATATTAAGTAATTCTAAGATGTTTTAATTGCCTGTATGTTGGCCTGGCGAGTTAATGCTAGGCATTTACATACCTAGGGTTAAAGCTAGACGTCGCATTCTGGATTGAAAAAAAAAAAGACTAATTTGGCAGGTACAAAAGGCACTCCATTTTAATAGATGTTCCTACATGGGCCGTGTGAGAGGCAGCATCTGGCCAAAGTTAACTCTGACCTTAAAGTGTTATTTGACCAATACAGTAGTTTCTTTCAAACGTTATATAAATATAATAATACCAGTAATAATTTTTAATACTACATCTGATAAAGGCATTGAGCTATTTATTCAATTAAACAACAATTATACTGTATATGATCTTACTACTACTGGACTGGCAAATGTCACCAAGCAGTGACTGTTAGTGAGGTCACCAGCCCGGCATGGTCCGTGTGCAAGTTTTGTTATTTTATGTTTAATATGTGCACACTACTGTACAGTAATATGTGTACACTACTGTACAGTATATTAGTTATTATTCATATGAAAATGTAATTTTATTATATTTTTTCTTCTATTTTTGTCATAAATATGAATAAAATAATTTTGTAAACTGAATCAGGCCCTAAATTAACCAGGGTTTTAAATACATTATGAATTGTCACAATTCGAGGCTTTCCTGTACAGTACAATACTTGAATTCACCAGGGAAGAAAATATCTGAATTTGAGGGTTTCTGTCTGTACTTATTTCAATCCCCTGTATTGTGCTGCATTTCCTCGGTGTGAACTGATGTACACTATCAAGGTTGTAAAGTGAATTTCTACTTTTTTTTAGGAGCAAATTGAACAAGCTAAAAGGGCAGAGGAGAAGAGACAGAAGAGAATTTACGACAACTGGAAGAAACTAATACAGGGAATGCTGGTGAAGGAGCGAGTGAGAGAAATGTACGGCAACGTGGCTCCATCTGACGAGGAAGAAGACCAGAAGGAGACAGAGACGGCCAAGAAAACATCGGAAGCAAAGGAAAAAGACACCCCAAGGAGAAAGATAAAACAAGAAGACATCGACGCTGTTAGACCTCCTCTCATCACACATCAGGTTAGAAATCTTAACATTGATCTGAGTTCCAATGTTGTGGAGATGGCCAAGAAAAGTAGAAAGAGAACAATGAAGACAAAAAATAGCATCAAGAGAGTTGTAAGCAAAAAGGGAAAAACTGAGAACACGACAGGTAAAGATGTTAAGACGGAACAAGTTGAAGAAGACAACGAGGAAAGTGAATCAGACGTTGAGGAGAAGAAAGCAAAGATTCGAGCTATTCTCCAGTGGGGAAATAAAACGGTTACCGCCAACCCTGACCTCAGTGATGACAGCGACGAAGAGAGACAGTCTCGGCCGTCGTCTTCCCACGTTGGTGTTCCATTTTCCGATCCCTTTTACACTGTCGGTGAGAAGCAGGGACAAGTAAAAAATAAATCTGGAAAAGGAAGAAAGAAAAGCCAAGCACAGGAACCATCAGACTGTGAGGAGCATGTAACAAGTCGATCAACCAGCCGCTCCACAACCCCTGAACCAGACCTGGGTAAGGCGGGCTGTAGGAGGTTGTCCCGCAGATCTGCCAAACAAAAGATCAAAACTTACAAAGAAAGTGATGGAGAAAATGAGGGGTACATTTCTATTGATGAAAGTGATTGTGAAGATAAGACTTATAATCCTTTAAAAGAAAAGAAAGCAGCCACTCACGTCTTGAATTTGAGTGAAGAAAGTAACTCTGACTGATTTTTCTCAGTAAAGTACATTAGTAGAGAAAATAGTTTTAATGTACTCTATTAAGAAATTTTAGGTTATATGTATTTTGTTTGTAACAATTACCCGGTAGTTCAAAGAGTATTATTAAGTTTTTAGACCAGTTAAATTGGTAACTTTTGTGGTACATTAAACTTTTTTGTATTTAAATAAATCTAAATTTTATATGTACAGTACTTAATTTACTGTATACCTTAATTTTAGAATGTACAGTCGATCCCATGTTTAATATTCATGGACACTTTATTCTTGATAAAAAAGTTTTAATTATTATTTTGATATTACCACAAATTTTAAATACTGTTGATACTACAAACCTTTAGCCAATACAGTACAGTAAACTTTTGGTATTCTTGGTTTCTGGATTTGCAAAATTTAAATATTTACCAACCCTTTATGCTCGACCCCAGACCTCTAGTGTTCTCAGATCTTGAACGGGTTGACAATCCCTGCTTCTTGAGGTGAATCTCTTGGTAAAACATAAACATCATCATAATTCATGAAATATTATTTATTGTAATGATACATTGAGGGTAAAACTACCTTCACTTCCCATAAACTGCTTTCCGAATTTCCTAAAAAAATCAGAGAATATTCAATATTTACTGTATTTTATACACAGTGATCAGCTACGTGCAGTAAACTTTAGTTTGTATTTCTGGGACAATTCTAAGGCACAATGTTGATAGGACAGAATGTTGGAATGTGCACAGTTTCCTAGCTACTGCACCTGAGGTAATGTTAGTGAGGGAGTGAACAGCTGTAGATTTTTTTTGTAATTTTATGCATATTGTGATACAGTTGTGTTATTAGAGTAAATGTTCAAAATTCCCTCACTCTGCCTCTATACAGTATCCCATTGTGAAGAGTGGGCAATGCTGAGGGGGACAAGTGGAGGGTAGTAGGAAGGCAGGAGGATGAGTGGTGAGGAGCAGCGTGTACACTGCATCGTGGTTGAGAAGCTATTGAGAGACAATGAGGGAAGGAAGTTGGGAGGCCTACAATTTCCTCAATTTAGTAGCCATGAGGCTTTGTACTCTTGACAAAGTGAAAGTGTGCAATTTGATAAAAAAATCTGGACACACTTTACAATGTTCAGTGGGGTTAATACCCTACTGGGAGCAAAATAATCACTTGAGCTAATACAGTAGAATGTCGATTTAAAGCGATTCAATTTAAAATTATTGATTTAAAGTGACACCCACAATTAAGGACAATGTATTAATTTAAAGCGAATCTTTCCTATTTTATGTGAGTCATTCTGGAGCATCATATGGAAATACACACTATTTTAAAATTCGCGCCTAATGTTTACCTACCAGACGCGTTTCTGGGCAGGCTACATGGCTGCCCGCCACCCTCTCACACTCTCACGCATCCTTAGTTCTCGCACTGATGCTCTAGTGAACGAACGTATTATGAGACACTATCTCCTTCTACCACGTGCATCAACCATCGCATTTATGTCCAAAAGGCCAGCTACCACATCATTCCCAAAGATCTGGGGGTCCTGGTGGTAGAGTGGTACCGCTCTTGCCTTCGCAAGCGAGATGTCACGGGTTCAATTCCCGGGCTGGTGGAAGTTGTTTGGACATACTTCCTAGCCCCCATTAGTCCCTGTTCACCTAGCAGTTAAGTAGGTACCTGTTGTAAATCGAAAGTTGCGAATTCGTATTCAGGGACAAGTTGTTGGAGCTTCCAATAGCTTGATGACATAAACCATTGACTCTTCAGGATTCTATGCCCTTGACTCTTCAGGCTTCTACGCCCTTAACTCGTGAGACATAAAGACAAGCATGAACTTAGCATGCTTCCCTGTTGGGCACTGTAAATGCTTCTGTGCTTCACCTTACACAAGGATGTAGGGGAGTGCCCAATAAATAATAAAAAAAAAAAAAAAAATTCCCAAAGACCAAGAAATCAAGGCAGGCAATTACACTGGAGCAGAAAATCAAGGTGCTGGAAGCCCCGCAGCAAGGAAATGGTGCTTCAAATGTGGTGTGCCAATTTGGGCAGTGATGTGGACAATGACCTGGTCGGGTTGAGCTCTGCATCTTCAGAGAATGAATTGCTTAACTAAAGTTGAGTGAAAATCTATTTTAGATAAAATAAAGTAATTAAAAATAAGTTGAGAGGAAAGTGAAAGAGCTTGGTGAGTCAGACGAGAGGCGGGCAATGTGCGGCGCCAGTGTGACCACCCTCTAACATCAGCTGATCGCTAGTAAACAGACCATTTCGCATCCCTTAATTTTAGCTGTGTTGATTTATGAGTGTTTGTTTTAACATAATACTACAAAAAACAATATTTGTTTATTCTAGGAGATGGGCTGAATTGCATCTGGGTAGACTCTCAGTCTTTTTAGTATTTTGTGTTTCTCTCAAGTACCAAACTAAATTATTCCATAGAAACAACACTTCGATTTAGTGCAAATTCGGTTTAAAGTGACCTCTCTTGGAACGTATCTCGTGTTATATCGACGTTTTACTTAATACAGTACTTGCAGCTCTTTGGGAAAAAAAAGATGGCAAAATATCCTGGGTATATTTTTCTTAGTGCTAGTGTATTTCTCTGACATTTCCTATAATTTAGCCGCACAGATGATATTCCCCAAAAGCTTAAGAGAGACGTTGAAATATGACCAAACATCAAATACTCACTCATGAGAACAATCTGTTATGGATGAGGAAATCCTGTTGAATCTGTTATAGCTGAAGCTGTAGTGATATTGATATAACATGGGGGAGCAAAGTCCTTCAGCTTGACCACCTGAGTAAAGCTCTCAACAGTTGCCGCGATGCATCCAATAGCTCCCAGACACATGATATTGGCAGCTAACACAACGTCTCTCACATCCACACGGCCACTAGCTTTATGCTGTAAAATATTTGAAAGGGTTGCAGTAAGGAATCCCATTATATTGCTGAGATACGTGATCCACAGGACCATCTGCCAGAATATAGCCCAACGTGCTGTAAACCCTCACTATTTTGCACCAGCTAGGGATGCTTGGAGTCAAGTCAGTCCACTCACCCTCTTGAGAACCCCTTTCATTTGACTTCACCCAAGCCAGTAGTCTTAATGCTCACTGCCATGTACAAGTAACCAATCAATGCCTTGTTTTCTGTAGTACAATATATATATAAACACATGACAATGACTCAAACATCAATATTCAGTATGTTAATATTATTTTTTGCACCCCAAGACTAAGACAGAGGAGCATTGTGTTCATTACTGTAATCTGGGTCTAATTTAATTCAGCAGTTGCCAGTTTTGTCTTATTTTCACCTTTTCTGAGATGTTTCTCCAAGTCACTGATGGAGCAATGTTACTAAAGCATAAATAGAGAAAGAACAGAACTAATTTACTTGCTGGTCAGGAGGCTTGACCTAGGCAACATTCGGTACTTATATGAGAACTTAACATTTACATCATTGAAACTATGTACAACAAGTTTGAAGTTTCTTAGTTTTTTCTAAAATTGTAAATAATTGTTAAATATACCTAAAGAATGTGAAACTCTGGGGTTTACAGCATCATAATGGATCGTAGGATCAAACATGTTAATTATTATCATTTCTCTATAGACTAGATTATAAAATAAACTCGCCTTAATAAGGATGTGGAAGGCTGGAGGGAAGATAAATATAAAGGGTGTGACAAGAAGACCGCCGACCAGCTCAATAGCAACAGCAAAATGTGGAATAGATTCACACACAAAGAACGAGTAGCATGACTGTTGTGCGGAGACAGATGCGTCGCCAACCAAACTCTGAAAATGTGTTTTAAGAGCATAAAGCAACAGCTAGATCAGAAATACTGTGGGTAAGTAAAGCACAGTACAGAATAGTCTTTGACAAGACTTTCAAGAGCAATGGAGGGATCCTACTTAGACCACTGGTGTCCTTCCCTCAGCATGGCCACCTCTAGTGGATGGACATCTGGTAAATTAGGTTGCTAAGTAAGTTAAATACAGGTACACCACCGATTTTCCGGCACCCTTGGTTCTAAAGCCTTGCCGGATTACTCATTTTGCCGGACCAACCAAGGTAACGCAGTAATAATTCAACAATACACCTGTGACCCACTAATTATACACCTCCCGTGTCTCTAAAGTACCATAGACTGATAGAAACTTAAATATTAAATGTAAATTAAATGTGAATTAAATGCTTAAATGAAAGACATTAGTATAAATGATACAAGTTTATTAGTATCAATGAAACAGGATTATTAATTATCTTGTATCGATATGGACTGGCGTTTACCCTTGACACCATCACTGACACTTGCATCTTTCTCAGAAGTCACACCTAGGGTTAAATGTAAGCAAAATGAGCTGAGAATCGCACAAAATCGAGGGATCACCCGCAACAACTGCAGTATAAACAACTAGTCTGGCAGTTGCGGGAATTTCAAGGGCCTTCTCGTAATTTTTTCTGCACTAAACAAGGTGCTGGACCATCAGTTCCCGGAAAATCGGTAGTGTACCTGCAATTTCTTTATACATAGATTGAGCCGTCAGTTTTTGGAACATTTAAATATGAAAATACTAGTAGCCAGAAACAACTTGCTTATTACCATTACATGATACTCAGCTGTGACTAAACGTTATTATTTTAGTATTGGTTACAAAGAAAGTAACCAAAACGACCAACATGATACCAAAACAAATGAAAGTGTCAGTCAACACACACTACTCACCGTCAGGAATATGAAGGGAATTCTCAAGGTCTTGGAAAAGTGTGTTGATCCCGAGCACCAGGCAGAGGAGCAGCTGAAATATAGCTCTTGTCAACCATACTGTGATGCTCAAGTACACAGTAACTTACAAGACACACGATGCTGTACAATACAGTATTTATAAAGGTACAAGTATACTCCTGTGCCTGCCTCCCTTATCTTACCTACATGTATACTCCACTGTCATATATACTTCCCTATCATGTACAGTATACTGCCCTGCCTCCCTTACCTGCATGGAGACAATGGCCATGTTGACGTATAGAAGAGGACCGGCAGAGAGGTTGTTGAGGATGTTGGCCTTAACAGATGACCCCAAGATAACAAAGGCAGCAACAGAGAGACTCACAAACAGACACACACTGCCTGTAACACAATAACTGACTGTGATATGTTTCATCTTGTATCGTTGGGGTCAAACATTCGCTCACTCCCAAACTGAAGCAGTATCAACCCCAAATGAAATGAAACATCGCGCAGATCGGTTGATCTTCCGCCACACCCTGTCACACAAGGACACCACAGCCATATAATATAAACAATCAGTAAATTTTATGTGAAGAATAATATCACTATAAGATAAATAAAATCACAGCAGGAACATCAAGGCAGCATTTGTACAGTTAGTGGACCATGCAGAATTCCTGATGTAATAATTTATATGAAAAGTGTACGCGAGTTGTTTGTAACTTACCAATAAAAGCAACTACGAGAGCATGTGGTAGGCGATGCTTCTGACGCATGTCCATCTGCACAGTCAGGATCATTGGGTGAATGTCAAACTGTTTGGGACAATAAATAATCAATATTCAATTACAAATGCAGACATTACTCTACTAAAGAAATAATGAAAATAACATCAAGAAAATATACACCATAAAAATCAAGCAAGAGTCTTTCAGACACAGACACCAAGTACTCCAGCAAGGTCACAAAGGGAGAAATATTTGGATTTTTTTTTTTTTAAACTTTACGATTTCCTGCATGGGCATCTGCTGGGGGAAGGGCAGTGTCAAGGGAGAGAACTGGTTGGTTGTGTCGGGTATTAACGCGGTAATTTTTCTGAGGTCTGGGTAGATAAGCAGATTAGGTTAGGCTTTCTCCAACTGGCCAGACAACTATTATTTGTGGCAGTCATCAGGTATATCATTACCTTCCTCAGAAATAATTGATATATGAAGAGTAAGAGTTAGCTGGAAACAAAATAAAGCTGTTGCCACAACAAGTCTCGACCAACCTGGAATGCTACGGCAGCAAAACAATACGCGGCAGCAACCAGAGAGGGAGTCACTGGGGCTGGATCACTTGTGTCAGGAGCATCAAGAATTAAACCTACGAGTGTTAAGATGCTCACAAGCACTACTGACGAGGCTCCAATCCACGTCACCACACTGTTGATTAAGAACCAATATATAAGTAAAACCCAATAATCCAAAAATTAGGAGAAAATACACTATGTTTAATTGATACTTGAAGACAAGGTATAATACCTTGGTGGCCTTAATAGTGTAGAGTATTGAGCTCTCTTACCCCAGGTCCTTTGGTGTGCCCAGCCAGAGGAGCGGTGTGAGGATGATGGTGGTGATCAGCAACCAGTAACAGAAGGAGAAATTAAGTCCTGCCAGCTTCTCCACTAACTGCTGCAGGGTCTCTGAAGCTGTAAACACCAATGACAACGATTATGTTATGTTTATGAATGATCTGTCTATACAAAGAAGTGTCTGAGGGTTAAAGGATTACACAGTAAGTCCTCGTTTAATGTTGGCCCGCTTAACATTGTCTCGGTACTAAGTCGCTTAACTTTTGAGACCAAAAATACATTCAACGTTCTGGTGATCGATACTACGTCGTTTTGCGTCGTCACGGACTACTTTCTATGGCGCTCTATCTGGACGCACTACACTCTCTCGGCTCGGCGCGCTGCCCTCACACGCGGAACGTCACAGCGTCCCCAGGCGATGCCAAGCCTGTCTCTGTTACGACTTCACATCATTGATGTGTGCTTTAGTGCTTTCGCTCTATAACTGTACTCTAACCATTCGAACGTGGTGTGGTCATAGCCGCTGTGCTTGGTCTAACCCCTACAACGGTGCGTACTGTCAGGACCATCTCTGACAAGATTAAGGTTAGTGCTGGATGTGGTACTACTCTCAGTGCAACAAAAACAACTCGTACTAGAAATACAGTGATAGAAAAAGTGGAAAAGATGCTGGTTATGTGGATGGAGGATCAGAATCAATGCAATGCCCCTGTGAGCCTTATGGTTATACAGCATAAGGCCATATCCTTGTTCAACAACATCAAGGCAGAAGAGGGTGAAGGATCGAAGGAAGAGACCTTCACGGCCAGCCGAGGCTGGTTTCAATGATTTAAGCGCAGGTATAACTTCCACAATATTAAGATGACTGGTGAAGCTGTCAGCTCAGATACGGCTGCAGTCGAGACATTCCCACCAGAATTCAAACGGATTTTCCAGGAATGAGGTTACTCATCAAAGCAAGTCTTCAATTTGGCTGAGACTGGCCTCTTTTGGAAGAGGATGCCTAAGAGGAC